CCACAGTCAATAACCGGTCCTCCCGAATCACCCCATTTCCCCCATGGGATTGTCCTAGTCCCCAAACATGCACTGCCTCCCCTCCCACTTATATTGCTCTAGGCTCACCCCAAAGTAGTTGCGGGGCACATAGCCCTCCTGGCCATGCAGCGAGGCCCACCACCAGTCGGCCTCTTCTGGCCCGTCCCTCCGCAGCACGGTCACCGACTCGCCCTCGCGGAAGGACAGCTCGTCGCCGAACTCGGCGCTGTAGTCCCAGAGGGCGTACACCAGCCCATTGTACATCAACCCCATGCTTTGCTCCACGTCTGAAAGAAGCCGGATCTTGAGAGCCAGGCACCCGCAGGGCCAGGGGACATGCGAGTGAGAGGGACGGGCCCTGGCCCTCGGACCTCCCCCGGACCGAGGAGGGGTATCACCTGAAAACTTGTGTGGGCTCCGTCTGGGGAACCAGCTGGCTCAGAGGCCAGAACTGGAAGTCACTACCAGGTGACAACACATGGGTGCATGAAGGTGGGCCCCCAAGCCTTCAGGTAGGGCCAGTTCCTCTCCTGTAGTTAAATCCGCTCCCCTTTCCCAGTATACCCCTTTCTCAGATAGTATAGCCCACCCACTTTCCCCTCCCATTTATTGTCCCATCAGCCCCTTCTCCAATTAGTACATCCCAAACCACACACACAAACACTTAAAACGGTACAATTACCAACAACCCTTTCAAGACGGTATGGTCCGCCAGGCTCCCCTCCTGAAATGGTTCAGTCCATGGTGCAGTTTTCCTTCCCCGGCCCTTCCAGGCGCGTTATCCAGTCTCCACTCCCACACAGGGCAAAGCCAAGGCTGTGTGAGCCCCTCGCTGCCATCTAGCTGATTCAGACTCACAGTGACCCTATGGGACCCTCAGAGGAGCTGGCGATTTTGGACTGCTGACCTTGAAGGTAGCAGCAGTGACCTTAAAAGGCTGAATCTCAAGGCTCCGCCTTGCCCCCTTTCGGATAACACCACCCTCCTCTCCTTATCTGCCCCCACAGCCCCGTATCTCATGCTCATTTTCTGCCAGGAGTGACAGTCAGCTGTCACGCAGTCACTCCAGGCTGACCGCTCACATGTCTAACCCTGGAGCCTTGGTGGCACGGTGGTTGCTCACTGGGCTGCGAGCCACAAGGTCGGCAGTTCGAAACCACCACCCAGGCTCCTTGGGAAAAAGACAGGGCTTTTCACTCCCATACAAAGTGACAAGCCTGGACAACAGAAAAGTGGGTGAAGGGAGACGTCGGACAGGGCAAGATATGACAAGATAACAACTTATAAATTATCAAGGGTTCATGAGGAATGGGGGAGCGGGGAGGGAGGAGGGAAAATGAGGAGCTGATGCCAGAGGTTACGTGGAGAGTAAATGTTTTGAGAATGATGAGGGCAATGAATGTACAAATGTGCTTTACACATTGTTGTATGTATGGGTTGTGATAAGAGTTGTATGTGCCCCTAATAAAATGATTTTTAAAAAATCTATAAAAGAGCAGAAAGTGCAATTCACTCTCTAAAGAATAAAGCTATCCATTTCTAATAAAGTGGGCACATTAGAAATGAAAAAAAAAAAAAA